ATATATATATATATATATATATGGAATCTAAGACAAAATCTCATCAACCTACGACTCTCCCGCGCTGAACTCGCCGCCTAAAAAGAGGAGAAACAATGAGCATCAAAGCACTAGCGAGATCATATATACCACCCCAAGGGTAAGGGGTAGCAGTATATAAGAAAATACTAGTTAGTATATATAAATATATATATATATATATATATATATGGAATCTAAGACAAAATCTCATCAACCTACGACTCTCCCGCGCTGAACTCGCCGCCTAAAAAGAGGAGAAACAATGAGCATCAAAGCACTAGCGAGATCATATATACCACCCCAAGGGTAAGGGGTAGCAGTATATAAGAAAATACTAGTTAGTATATATAAATATAAAGTCATCAATACTACGCTAAACGGAAATTGGTATTCAAAGATTCATAACATGAGAATGGGTACATCGAGCGAAATAATCCAAATAAGGAAACCCTCATGTATATACATCGTATCCTAAATTATGAATCGCTAAATATCAATCTCAACTAGTAATAAAAATGCAAGTGAAATTAGTAAGTAGAAATCGACAACTCGAGACTGGTACGGCGAGCGAAATAATCCAAATAAGGAAACTCTCATGCATATACCATATATCTGGAGCTATGAATCACTAACTACTTCGTTCAAACCTATATATGAACAATCATCACAAACAAAAATATTACAACTTCTACGCTCAATTATAATGAAATAATTTGTCACAATTTCAGACTACCCTCAGGTAGCTGGCACCATCATAAGGAAATATTAGCCACCTCAAACATTACAAAATACCATGTCATGTATGTCATATATCCAATGTATACCCTACTCATAGGTAAACTACATGAAATCATACTACTACTATATTTATGTATGCCTCTCTTTTTGCAATAGAGATACTCCTGTGAGGTTCGCACAATAACATGTGGATTCAACTTCCTTACTCAATCGTTCTATGGTAACATATTTTATCTCCCTATTTTGGATATACTTCCAGATGATCGTACAACGGTGAATAGGCACATCAGCCCAAAACGAAAAAATACACCGATTACCTTTGAGTTTTTGGTACAACCGAGGTTTCATTACGGGAAAAACAATCAAATACTCCTAGTGTGGTATAACCAAGGTCTCATTACGGGATAAACAACCACACCGAGCATCCATAACTGATGAGCAATGCTTTATCCTATGTTAATTCACTTTCATCAACTCAACGTGTGTCAAGTATCTCGACAATGCATGTCAATACATCATACCTATGTTAATTCACTTTCATCAACTCAACGTGTGTCAAGTATCTCGACAATGCATGTCAATACATCATAAACTAAGTGTACGTGCATCATCAACTCAACGTGTGTCAAGTATCTCGACAATGCATGTCAATACATCATAAACTAAGTGTACGTGCATATATCTTGGTGTGCGTGATAATATATGATGTTCACCAACATCCCAGGTGTTAAACAACTCATAAGGTTCATGATACAACATAAGAACATCGAGAAACATCTCCCAAAAATAGAAACAGTGAAGAAAAATATGTACATGCCAAATGTGTAATGGGCGGTCAACCACATATATGCGGCTGTCGACTGTGACGTGTTTCAGGAGTTGCCCAGCCCTCTGTCTGGCACGCGGTCGACCGCCACTTAGGCGCGGTCGATCGGACCGAATTCCAGAGTTCTTAAAACACTTTTGTAATTTTGTTCTTAAACTTTTAAACATGAAAAGATCTTGTCTTTATATATATAATACAAAAGATTTGATTTTTATACACAAATTAGTCAATTTAGCTCGATAAAACTCGTTAGAAACTCATTTAAAATTTTTTAAAATAGAGGAGAGAGATTAGCAGAGATGAAACTCGCTTGAGACTTGATGCAAAACGTGAAAGATAGGATTCCAAAGTAGATCTTCAAGCCACAAACCGAAAATCCCGACGGGCCCTTAATCTATCTCTCAAAATCAAATTAGGGTTTTTAGGAGAGTTTGGTGGCTACTAGGTTTTTTAGATTACTGAAAAATATGTAAAGACTCGTGAACAATATGTATATATATCAGGAAAAACGAATATGTGCCTCAAATACCCGAAACCAAATCAAAACAGGAAAAACAGTTTTCAGGTTTTGCGGTCGACCTTGGCAGTAGACAGGACTGCGATCGACCGCGGCGGTTGACCGGACTGGAATTTTCTAGATTCTCAGAATTTGGCCATTATGCATGTTTTCGACTCGATTCTTTCTCATGAATGAACTTGTTTATACTCAAAACACTTGTACTCATACACTATTTAATGATATTTTTCACAATAAATATCCACTTATTATAATTAATCACACATAAATTCAATTTACACTATTTAATGATATTTTTCACAATAAATATCCACTTATTATAATTAATCACACATAAATTCAATTTATCAATTGTTAACTCAAATTTTCTGGGGCAATATCCACTTATTATAATTAATCACACATAAATTCAATTTATCAATTGTTAACTCAAATTTTCTGGGGCTTTACAAAAATCCCAAAACCAAAGAAAAATCCTCAAACCAACAAAAACCCTAAAAATTAGGAAATCTGGAAAATAGTCGTTACAGTGCCATCGGTCGACTGATACACAGTTCAGTCGACTGATGAGCTGATCGTTGGCTGATTCTGGGAAACTATCAGTCGACTGATGCAAACCATCGGTCGACTGAAAACATTATTCAGTTGACTGATAGAGATCAGTCGACTGAGCAGAAACTTTTCAGTAATTGCAGAGTAGTTCATCGATCGAATGATGAACAGTGTCGGTCGACTGATAAACATGCACAACCCAGTTTAGAACAGTAAATACGATTTTCAAAGTGTGTTTAAAAATAACAAATAAATTCCAAAAATTATGAAACTTGGGAAAATGTTTATATGCATGAATATAAACATGTTATAAAAGAAAATTTTGAAATATCATTCCCCGTTTGTGAAAACTCATCATTTTGCAAAATCTCAAAAAATACGAGTTTGTTTAAACACTTGATTTTGACAAAACTGTTTCAAACACGTTTGGAAATTCTTTTGAATGGATTAATAGACTTTGTAAAAGATATAAAACATTATTGTTAAGTCAATAATCCAAAGACTCGATATTTTCTCAAAAACACTCATATTACGATAAAAACGAGAAAGACGTGTGTGTATAAAAATTGAGCTTAAAGCATAAACACACAAAGTATAACTCCTAAACTAATATACCCAAGTTGATGATCTTCAATAAGCTCGTCTTGGTTGCGGATGAAGTAATGATGAATCTTGACTTGAATTGCGACGGTTTCATTCCTATTTTCCTTCCAACCTTCTTTAAATATCCTTGTGAAGGCGCAAGTCCATCCAACCTCCGATGGAGGATTTTTGTGTAGAATACCTAACAAGTAAAATCAAACACTCGACAAACGATGTTAGGAATTGTATATTAATCATCAAAACTAGATTAAATAGTAGGCTTATAAACATGAGACCTAACACTAAATTCACCTATAATAGTCTAAAAAATGCCATTCAACAAGATTGGTTACCAGTATTAGCAGGACTACTTTGGACTGCGGGCCCTCTACATCACCCCACCCCACCCCACCCCTCCAAAAAGAAAAAAACACCCCCACACACACATAACAACAACCATCTCCTAAGTCTCCCGGGGAAAAAAATTCCTACACTTTGAAACTTTTCTTACCATAGCCTCCTACATGTAATTTGCAGATACTTAAAATTTTAATAAGAGAAAAATTCAAAATCTAAGAGAGAGATGGTATGATGCATGTAGATGAGACATGAAAAAGTTCAAAAGTTTCTCTTAGAAGAAAATTTTAGTTATTTATAAATTATATATAAGGGGTTTGCTGAGAAAAGTTTGAAGTGAAGGGGGTTTTATAAGACACCCCAGGGGAGTTATGACTTATGTGGAATACGCCCCAAATTGCAAGGGGGGTTTTGTGTAATTAACCAACGAACCATTTCTGATTCATTTCACGTGCATTCGCGCATGCCGACAGCCAACTAACTAACCCCAAAGTCTCGGCTTTAAGATTCCTCGCTCCCAAAATTCATAAACCCTAAAAATCAAGGGGGAAAAGAAAAAAATCCAAAAAAAAAAAAAATTCCCANCCCGATGAGCGAGATCGCGAAGAGAGGATGGCAGAGCTACACTCATCAGCTCCAGAGCCACCCTCTCCGAACCAAGGCCATCACCTCCGCCGTCCTCGCCGGCGTCAGCGACTCCGCCGCCCAAAAGATCTCCGGCATCCAAAAGCTCCACAGAAAGCGCATCCTCCTCAAAATGGTACTTTAAAACAAACCCTTTCTTCTTTTTTTTCGCGATTAATTTTTGATTTAATTGGATTTTTTGTTCTTTTTGAAGATGTTTGGGTTCCTCTACTACGGACCATTTGGGCACTACTTACATAAAACTTTGGATAGGATCTTCAAGGGGAAGAAGGATAAGAAGACGGTGGCGAAAAAAGTAAGATTTTTTTTTTCATTTTTTGACATGCTGGTATCGTAAATCTCAATTATTTTTAAGAACCCCCCTAAACTTTAATGTATTGCATCTATTTTAAATCTGTTATACACTTGTATTCAACCCTCCACTTTTGATGGGCAACAACCACTTCTAAACACATTAAACTTTCCCTATGTTATATGCCTGAAAATCTTATGTCCAATGTTCAATGACCGTTGAGTTCCGTTACTTTCCTTTGAGTTAAATCAACAGATTTAAACTAGAGGGACTAATTTGGGATAACTAATGGGATGAGATTACTGATTAAAAATTTCAAAAATCCTAGGACGTTTTTTGAAAATTTTGATAATGTCAATTACATATAATCCACTCATATGTAACTTGGGTAGCACTTAAATAATCTTCTACATATTCATTAGCGCTTATCATCCCTGTGATTTGCTAATAAACCATCTACGGGGTGATAAGTGCTGCTGAAAGGTATATAAGAGGGGGATTATCTGCAAATTACCTTTTTTTTAATATGCAAATTGGCGGTGTTTAGATTATTATGATAAAACTGTTTGCTTTGGTTTCAGGTGTTGTTGGAGCAGGTGACTTCTTCTCCTTGGAACAACATGGTGTTCTTGATGTACTATGGGTTTGTTGTAGAGGGTAAATTTCTCGTATTCATATCAATTATGGAAGCACCACCATTCATGTGATGAGTATTTAGTTAAAAGATGTAAAATTTGTGTCCATGATATGTAAAATGTTGAAACCTTGAAATACTAGGTTGTGAATTTGGTCAAACAAGTCTTACGCTTTAGGATAAATGCTTCTATGTTAATGATCAAACACTGGGATAATATGGCATGAGAAGGGCACAATGAACATGCTTTCTGTATAATTTTTAATCATGAATAACAAAATTGGTTTTCTTTGTTTTGTTCAAGTTTAAATGACTTCATATTGTGATATAGTAAATTAATCATTTCGTAGGTTTCAAATGACTTTTTCTGGGTAATAACCCTTGGCATGTTGTCTTTTTTATCTTTCTGAAAGAAACTTAATGTATCTGACATCATAAAGAAAAACTCTTTAGTTTGTTAAAGTATTAACAACTATTTTATAGTATTAACAACCTAGTATTACCAACTCTTTTGCATTGAAAATCATGGAAACCGTGGTATATTTTAAAGAAGTACTAAGGGTGTTAAATTTGTATCTGAAAAGTATATGAAATGAAAAATCTATCCTATTTGGCGTCAAGCTGTTAGTGGCAAGTGTATATAGTTTTCTATGAACCAGCAAATATCATGACTAGATTATCTTGTTTAGTTAACCGCCTGAAATTATGAATAACTCTGTTGGTTAACCTTAGATCTTAAACTAACTAAAAGCCTAAACACTGATGGGTTCGTCACAAATAAAAATCACTTCCTGAAACTTGAATCCGAAGCTCCAGTAAATTTAGTATTTAACCCAGAAGTTTCATGTTTGAACAATGGAGCTTGCTTGCTCAATTTTGATTTACATGCGCAACTTTTCTATGATTCACCTGAAATATGCAGTAGACGGCTCATATGTTCAATATCAATTAGGTTATACATTAATTCAATTATTTGTTTTATAATGCAGGACGACCTTGGCCACAAGTTAAGAATAAAATTAAAAAGGAGTACCCCAAGTTGCAGTTGACATCTTGGATGGTGAGATAATTCTTGTTCTCACCTTCAATTGATCATGTGCTAGTATCCACTTCAAACCACTGAGTATTAGTAATATGGCATATGTTTATGCAGTTCTGGCCAGTTGTAGGATGGATAAATCACCAATATATGCCACTACAATTCCGTGTCATATTCAACAGTTTTGTTGCATGCTGCTGGTATTATTTTAACCATGCGGGATTTCTTAATGCACATTTCTGTTCTCAGTTTCATCAATGGGATTCAACAGAGTTGTAATAAGTATTTTTGAACTCTTCAGGGGAATATTTATGAATCTTCGAGCAAGGACTGTGGCCTTAACCAAGTGATGGATGAATTTGATGGGCAAATTGAAGGATACTAGCTTGATTTATGTCAAAACATATGCTGCGGATCAATAGGATTTCCTATGTGTAGCATTTTAATAATACTTCAAGGCCTCTCCTATTGTAGGAGTGAGCAATTTGCTTCCTCATCTTCTTTTGTCGCTCTAACTGCTTTAATATGTCTTATTTATTCAAGGAGATAAATCAAGATATTTAGTTTATTCGGTTTCTCAAACTATTTAGCATATTAAACACCTTTATTTCGATTTCTTTCCATATGCCATGTTTTTATATGTTAAATTAGATGTCAAGTTACTTAGTGTTAAGACTGTTTATTATGTTGTTCGTATAAATTTTTTATTTTGTCCAGATATGTTTAGCATCCATCATCTTACTGCTGTTTTAGTCTTTGAAGTCTTCATCATATGGTGCATTCATACCGATGTTCCCTATGATCCCACTGTCTTCTACACAACATGTTCGTCTACAGGTTATAAAGCATATAAAAATTATGTGCTCTGTCAAAATCATTATTACATGAACAATCAAATTTTTGCAAAATTTTTCTGCATCAGCCACTTGAACCGATATGTCCACTGTGTCAATTGACTATCCGTGTTCTATAACTAAGATACTTTTCATATAATAAGAAAGAAGAATATGGTACGGCTGTAACAGAACAAGATAAGCACAACAAGAATACCAGAAAGGATCTATGGGAGAAGAAAACAAAGAATAGGTAACAAACTTTTAAGTACTACTGTAATCATCCAAACCCATAACAGATTTGGATCCTCTCCACTACAAAAAAGTAGTGGAGAGACCACTACTTTTAATCTCAAGCGTTGATTATTTAGTAGGCGGTTATGATACAATCTAAATCTAACACTTACCATACCCCTGTGTATTGCACTCATTCCTAATTTGCACTAAAAGAAAAAATCATAACCATCAACTAGATAATCAATGGCTGTGATTATGTAGTGGTCCCTCCACTATTTTTTTTGTAGTGGAGAGGATCCGAATCCACCCATAACATGCTCCGGTTTTGACCATCTCATTTTTATGATTTAGGGTATCATGGGCCCATTGCATGAAGCTTCCTGTATGTGCGGGTCTGGGAAGGGGTCGGATCATGTTGCTTCTGTTGTATGCATACTTACCCTGCATTTGTCTGTGTCCCTATGTTCTTTTGTTTGGAAGTTGTTGTCTCAGACACTTACCATGTTCTACATGTAGATAACATAGTTTAAATTAGTAAGGTTCTTGCAAAAATTGATAACCTTTTGCGCTTGCCAAAGTGCTTTCACTAAATTTCCTCTGTTATAGTGCAAAGAAACTTTGATCAAATTTCCTCTCTTATAGTTCAACTTCTTTAGCTATTTTTTTTGACAACAATAGTCGATTTATGTGTTAACTGTTGATGTCTTTATCTGCAGATACTCTCTTATTGTTGTAAACATATTTAGGTTCAAGCAGCTAAAAGAGTCATACTCGGAACGAGCATCTATTTAATATCTTAACATGACATGAAAAAGAAGCATATGAAGCAAGACTCTTGCGCTCAGGGAGGTTTCTGTTTGTAGAGCCAGCTTCATCGAAGGCAATTTCTGTCTTGCATGCTCTCCAGATTTCTCGCACTGACATTGTTCTCAAAAATCCTTTTCCACATCCCTGTAGAAGGCAGCACTGTTGCAGAACAATTAGAAGACCATCCCAATCTCCTCACCATGCTCCATATGTTGGCCATAGTTACAATTGCAATTGCTCACATGACAACAAATATTACTGGCCATGACCCCTGAGAAGAGTCTATAATACCACCACCAACAGCTGCTCGGCCAGAAAGTGCTGTGAATGCCTTAGTAATCTTCAAAATTAGCTCGCTGCTGTCACATATTCTACTCATCATTCTCATCTATAAAAGAACGCCCTGCATTTTCATCATCTAGATTTTTGTTCCGACCATTATTATTAGTTTTCTTTGTTTGTCAGCTCCGTAGCTTTAGTTCTAGTGACTATGCTGCAGGCTTAATGATATTTGGGAATTTTTCGAGGATTGGGAGAGAGGAAATCCAGCAGGCCTTGTTGATCATAGTCTCTGCGTCCTTTCTAGAGCCCTTTAGGTGCTCCATGAGTAATACTAGTATGGATGGATCTCTTTAATTGTTTGAATAATTAGATTGCAGCAAGCTGTTATTGCTGAATTTGGTCAACAATTAGAGTTATTTCGATGACTTTACTGAAATTACGGTGGATGAGATAATGGGTTATTCCCCATCTAGGTTTCTAAATCATTCTCTTCCCTAGCACTTTCTTGATCTTCCTGTTGTTCTTTGAATATCTTACCTGGAGTTATTCTGAACCTTGGGTACTAAAGGATGAGAGATAATGCAAAGGAAATGATATGTGTGACAGTTTAAATGCGGATCTGATTTATATTATTTTATATGTATAGAAATATTGAGTAAAAAAATTAAAGCGGTTTTCTTTTGCGTGTAATTGTCACTGAGGTAAGCAGTAGTTTTGGAGGAGTATAAGGGGGAAAATTATGTCAATAAGCTTAGGTTTGTCTTTCTGATTGTTCAAACATTAATAACCAGCTTCATGACCATTCTAAATGTCATTGTCGAGGCAGATGAATGCACGACTTAGTCGGTTGGAGCTGTTGACAAGGGCCCTTGGTATTTTGGCTGAGGCTGGATATATTATTCGTTTAACAAGTTGTTAGATTCAGTTGACCTGACATTGATATGTTATTCTGAATTAAGGTTATTCTGACCTTGATGTTTATTTAAACTTTTCATGGCACTTTTGGACTTATATCTATGGTACTGGATATGTTATTTGTTTACAAACAAGTTGTTTGATCTTCAGTTGACCTGACACTGAAATGTTATTCCGACTGAATGAAGGTTATTCTAAGTCTTGAAGTTATGTGAACTTATTCTTGTGTCCTACATCTTTATTCTGCTTTCAGGGATTGAGCTGCTTTTTTGGGGCTCATCATTTACCTGAAATATATGAAATGGAAAAACTATCGCGCATTGTTTCTGGTTTTATCACATGTAGGTGTCAAGAGCCTGATTGGGTAACATTTGTAGCAACATAATTACAGAAAAATCCATCACACAAATTAGTTCATGGTGATATTTAGTTGTGTTCTCGAGAAAACCAATTAGAACCATCTGTTACAAGAATGGCATAACTACTTTTACAGCTGCTGATTTAAATTTATTCCTTAATTTCCTAAATTTATTCATTCAGTTTTATTATGTTTGTGCCAACTGATAATCAAAATTGGTGCTAAAAACGATACTTGTAATAAAAGAGGTGTAAGCGAAAGCAAATTATTGAGTAGCTGCAAAGGTCACTTGTTTTTTCATTTATACTGCACACCTTTTGCTCTATGCAATTCATTTTAGAATTAAGCAATAAGTTTCTTTTTCCGCAAATCTTTTGGGAAAGTTATTCTTTAGTTTCAGTATATACAAACGTATTGACATCACAATCGATGTATTCTATATATTATGAATCAATATATCATATATGCACAGTTGGTTAGGTTCTTCTGACTACACAAGACAATCTTGTATCTAAGTTGTTTGCAGGAAAAGTCAGTATGATCAGAACAGCTTCCCTGCAAACCCTTCTACATCTTCATCTGGACATGAAGGATAAGCATATGGAGCAAGACCCTTCAGCTCAGAAAGGCTTCTCCCAAGTTGCAGAGCCATCTTCATTCGAAACAACTCTCCATCCTCCCTATTTTCCCATTCACTCTCGTTTAAATTGTTCTCTATCTCCTCTTCCAAGTGTTTATAATATCCAGCACAGTTGCGGAACAGTTCGAACACCATCCCCATCTGCCCTCCATGCTCCAATGTATTCACTATGGTTGCCAGAGATCCTCCTATGACAGCAAATAACACTGGCCATGACCCATGAGCTTGAGAGGGATTTATCATAGCAGCTCCAACTGTAGCTAGGCCAGAAAGTACAGGACCTGAGATTGCCAATGCCTTACTAATCTTCAAAACCAACTCGCCAACTTCCAGGTATTGCTCCTCATCTTTCATCTTCATTACTCGAAGAACACCCATCATTTCCTCTTCTAGCTCGTTGCTCCAACCGTTGTTCATGCTTCTCTTTGTGCGTTGGCTTCGTGGTTGTAGCTTTGGCCACCACACTGCAGGCTCTACTTTCTTGGGGAATTTCTCGAGCAATGGGAGTAGAGGAAGTGGATAAGCCTTGTCGATTGCGAGAACTTTCTCCATTGTCTCTGCAACATCCAATTCAGTAGGAGATCCAAGAGCGATGGTAGTTTGTATGGATCTTTCCAGTTGTTTGAACAACTGTGTTGCCTTCCTTTGTTCTTCTGCAAGCTGTGATGGCTGGAGTTTGTTGACTAACAGCATCATCCCTGTGGCTGCTGCGAAGAGGATGGTAGATGAGTGATTGAGATGCGCCGATGGTGCAATAGGAATTGATGAAATGGCAGCCATGAGTGTGGCGGCTAAAGAAATGGAGTTGATGGAGTTGAGGAGCAAAGAATTCCAATCGTTTCGCTGTTGTCCAACTATAGCATGCTTCTCAGCTCTGTCTGCCACAGCTTCAGTGATGGCATAAAGCTTGGAGATCAGAGCTTCGTCTTTATGAGATCTATGGGTTTGTGATAAGGTGGAGTCCTTTGTTGTGCTTTGCTCTGTCGGGAGTAAATCCTTCACACTAATCAAAGCTGGAAGCTTAGGGATAGTACTTGTCTTGCTCCGGTTGATTGGCACATGGACACTAGCTCGAAACCTTGGGCGATATGAGAGTGATGTTGATGTTAGAGATAACACATGCTGTGCTTGTAGACTTGCCATCTCAGAGTTTTTGCTGCTTATGCTGGTTATGATTTGGATAAATTAGCTTGAAGTTGTTCTTGGATTTGGATATGAAATTTTGTAGTGGGTTTGATGATATGGGGAGTTAGTTAGCGTCCTATATATAGGAGGAGATGGCATAACATTTGAAGCAGTTTACTCTTTGAATGAAATCTTCATTGACTGGGCAAGCAGCATGTCAGGAGTCATTAAGGAAAGTGTCAATAGCCTTAGGTTGGACCGTTGATAGGGTAAAAAGTTACGACCAGCTTCATGACTGTTCCATGTTCTATTCTCACCGCAGATGAGTGCACCAGACTCGTTCAGTTGGGAGTTGGAATTTTTGACGTAGTCCCCGTTTGGAGTTCAGCCAATGGGGCTGGATCTCTCTTTGCCAGCGAGTTGTTGAGGCCTCAGTTGACGTGGAGCTAAAATATTTTATCCAGTACTTGACGGCTATTTAAACTTGTTTATATGCCCTCCATCTTCATTTATGTCATTTTAGGAGGTCACATCTTCATTTATGTCCTACTCTCTCCATCATCAAAGTCATCTCCTCTCTCTCCCCTAACCAAATTCATGGATAGTTCTTCTTCCTCTCCTACTCATTCCATCTCGGGCCGGCCCCGAGGTTTGGGTTGCCCTAGCCCAATCCAATTTTGATTGTCATTTATATTAAAAATTTGGTACAAACAATAACGATAAAAATGAATATATATAATATCATTTAACATTCTAGATTGGGCTCAAACTGATAATATTCTCTTGCAAAATCAATATTCATATAAGAAAAGAATACATTTGTGCTATAATTTAATTCAAAGAAAAATACTTCTCCTTGAATTTTTTGAAACGAATTCTTCAATAAGTCATCATACTCAAGTTTCTCCAAGTATTCATTTTCAATTGATATCATTGTCAATCCATTCAATCATTCTTGTGACATGGTAGTGCGAAGATAACTTTTTATCAATTTCAACTTGGAAAAACTTCTCTCCGTCGAGGCAATCGTAACTGGGATAGTTAACAAAATCTGATAAGCAATA